ACAATTTTATTTTCTTATTTCGAATTTATAATAAATATATAATAACTTTGAATTATAATAATAATAATAAACTACTATTCTTTCAGTAAATAAAGTTTCAAATAAAATGAAAATCAATTGAAAAAAAATAGTTTCAAAATTTGTTGTGTTTGTGAGCGCACTGTTAGGCGTCTAAGTCTTGAACTAAAAGCAATTCTCTGCTCCCGAGCTTAGCGTCGAGTAGTGTCGGCTCCGGAGCGTCAGTCTTAACACTAGTGATCGTGCGGTTGTGGTCGTCGGCGAACGTGAAGTCCTCGAGTCGGGGCGAGTGGCCCGGGATATTAGTGGCCGGGAAATTGGTTCGTATGGCGAACTTCAGCGGAGCGTCTTTATTACAATACACAAAATAATATAAATATTTAATGCATTCAGTCTTAAGGAACCGTCGCTCCAGTCGCGGCCCATTCGGTAGTTTAATCACAATATGAGTTGCATTCGGATCGTTGGGCTCGGGTTCGGCCGGCAATTCGCCGACTAAATACTCCCGCAATCGGAGCATACGTTCGAGCCGTTCGCTGGCCTCGAGTTCCACCCGTCTCTTGGCCTCCTCCTCGGCGTCGAGTCGGGCCTTCTCTTCGAGTCGGAGGCGCTCGCGTTCGCGATCCACAGCCAGCGACTGCTCGTAATCGATGTCCTGCTGTTGTCGCAACAGTTGATTCATATTTCTCTCCTCGCGTTCGCGCAGTTCCTGCAGAAGTGACGACCGGTTGTGTTCAACACTGGCGTTGAGTTGTGCCAGAAGTGGTTCCAAATGAGTGATTGCCTCCAATTTGCGAACGACAGTCATTCGGTTATTCTTGAGGGCAATGAGCGCCACAAACGGATAAGTGCTCTCTCGGAGCTGTTGGGACACTGAATAGCCTTCGGTGTAGTTGACAGATGAGGCCCAGAAGATCACGTTGTGTTGAGTGAGAAAATCGATGAATCGTTGGCTTATTATCACTGAACGACAGAACTGGTCCGTGTCTTCGTGTGACTCGCAGTGCAGATAAACCAATAGAAACCTGAGCTCACGTTTGGCCGCATCCACCGCTTGATTATATGTGCCCACAAAGAAGTCGGGATGTGTTGAGCCGTACTTCAGCTCAAATTCGGCCCTAAATCGGTTCGTATCGCCTGACGAATGCAAATCTGAGGAATCAATCATATTATCAACCATTAGTTCCGCGTCTGAACCTTCACCCGATGACACTCCAGATGTAGGACTGCTTTCATGTCTTTGATTGTCCGACTCATCTGACTGTGTGGAGGACAACGAGGGTCTTCTACTACCGGTTCCACTACTACTACCACTACTACTAATATTATCACTGGTATGGCAATGATTAGTGGACTCATTCCTATCGGAGTGATCGTCCAAACCATTCATGTCTACATCTATTTGCTCATCAGAACCACTCATTTTGACAATCAATAGATTTAATAAAACAATTTACAACTAATAATGAAAAGATGTCCAAAACGTGATTCCAATGGACAAAATCAATGGCAAACTATGAAATTAATTGACAAAACCATTCATACATTAATAAAAATTTGAAATGAACCCAACATTTGAACCCAAAAAATCAATCTCTACTTACAAACGATGCGATCAAACCCTTGTGTCTGAATACAAATCGCTACTAAACTGTTCAACGAATTGGTTGTTCACTATATCAGGTTATTGTGAACCTCTCGCACACACTATATATAGTGTACAAACTGTGAACTGTATTATAATAAACAGTCAATCACTGAAATCGTTGATTCAAATACAATGGGAAATACATTGAAATGTGAAAACATTAGAGTAATTGTGTTAACAATTGTTTGAATTGTAATTTAAATAACACGTTATATTGTACTCGCATTTAATAATGTGTTACTTTATAATTATAATAACAATCAATGGATGTTTTGATGAATGTTTGCAAAATACTTTCACTCAATTCATTGCCTCGTATTTCGTCACACAATTCAACGCATTTATAACTCAATGAACACAACGTTTTGGCAAAAAAAAAGACGAGATATTGATAACACTTGAGATTAAATGACATTAAATATGTCTTTACACTGAAAGGCCGTCAATAAACTAAAAGTCAAATTATTATTTAAATCAAAGTTAAGATTTTTTACTAACAAAAAAACAGTACTAAACAGTAATCAATGGCTAATAGGGAGTGAGAAAATTGACCAAAAGCTTTTACAACACATAACAAACTTGTCAAACATCTTTTGTTAAGTTAAAAAATGCAAATCATGGTAACTAAACATATGAAACGGTGTTTAGTGTACTGTTTAAATGCAGAGATAAGACCTTAACGTTTTGTTACGTATTAAAACATGTGATACAAAACATTACAATTTTATACAAATTATGTTGAGTACAAAATACAGAGTTAAAAGTTATCATTAATTAATTAATTAATTACTTAATTAAAGACAGTAGTAGTGAGATGTTTGGCGAACACATCAATAGGCAATTCCTGAGTAAAATTATGCTAACATTCATTACGTTTGACTCCATTTATTAATAACGATTCAAACAATTATCAAACACTGAAAACACATTTAATGTTCACATCAATTAAAATTGAATAAAAATGTATTTCTTTTGCAATAAAAATATAATTATTTTTAGTTTAAAGTGAATTGAATGGCAAAATACATACCAAACACTACCGGAAGCTATCAATTATATCGATTCAAATACAATGAGAGTTAAAAGTAGATAAAGTTTTTGATCGCAAAACCATAATATCAATGGTGTTCTCATTATTAGTTCAAAACTTTTTAATAATCTATTTTTGGGTCCAAAGAACCCATGGATTCGTTAAAACAATATTATATTTATGTTTATTTTAAGCCAATTCTCGTCAAAACTGCAACTCTTTTATACTTTTCGACGCATTTATCATAAAAAACGAGTTTTCATTCATTCAAAACATCAAATAAAATATACACTGATTTTCAAAGCCCTATAAAATCTATGCTTGAATTTAATTTACTGCTAGAAAACCATACATATGTTTACGTAACTAATATTTCCTTTCATTTTAAGTTTGCATTTTATTTTTCATTCAATTCCTTCACTTGTTTTTAATAAGATTTTAATTTTCAATTCAGTCTTTCATTTAAGCATTCAATGCATTTGATTGCAAATTAATTTTCAAAATTACAAAAACTGACAGCAATTGAAAGCAATTATCAAATACTTCAAAATGAATACAAATATGAAAATTAAACATTAGATGTCGTCGTTTGAGTGGTTCTCTTGAGCAACAATTATGGACACAAATGGATATCATATCCCACACAATACTAACCATGTATTTAACCCACAATTAATTGCAATTAACGAACAAAACAAATGCTAAATACAAAAGTAGACCCAAATAGTGATATGTCTTTGTCTCTGTACTCACGTCTTGTGGGATCAGCTCTGATGAGAGATAACGCGAACTGAAGTAATGATACGAATGTGTCGTAAATGAAGGCAAATGGAGATGAGATGACCCGCGCTATGAACGACCAGACCGTGAGTCGCGTCTCAGCCCTCCTGTACTCCACGTTATTATTATTATTAACGGTATTATTGTTTGCGTGAGAATTGTCTGTCCCGTTGTCTCGGGAAGTGTTGGCCACGAGGTGTCGATGTCTTACCGACGGCTCATTATTGGCCGCAGAGTTGGCGTTGGAGTCGACGCTGTCTAACGTCAGCCGAACCGCAATCTAAACACCAAATCAGAGACCAAAATCATTAGACAATCAAATCAAACGGCAGACCAACGGATCCAGTGATGGGCAGCCGGTGGCTCCAGACATACCTCCAGATCCCAGTTCTGCTGCTGAAGAATATCCTTACATCTGTCCAAGTCTTCAATGCCAGTCAACTCCTGAGCCAAAACATAAACAAGACATGCAATTAATGAATCAATTGATGGCAAAGTGTGTATCGCGTGAATGGATAGCATGTGAAGGGATGTGATGGACACGAGTGGTCACAAGTGATGGGCAATGGATTGGTGTCTGACCTGAAACTGAAGGACTGTTTCGGTTTGATCTGAAGTCAACTCAAACGACGACTCGCTGTTCGCTTCGTCCATCTTATCCACCACTCTATAACACAACACACGTATCGCTATTACCAACGCTAGGCTGTACTCACAGCACAGGCGACAACGCGCGCAACCAATACAGCGCGTCCGTCAAAGTCGGTGTACGCGTCGCTGTGTTGTGTTGTGTGTGTGTTGTTGTGCTGACGACTCATTCCAATGCCATTACAGCGAACGTAATGTCAATACAATCCCCGAATCAGTTATGATGTAATGCTCGCCGTTTGCCAGAAGGGCGCAACTCATGGCAGTGGACACCGCTTTCGCAGTGCAACTCATTTAAGCCTTTATTCGTTTTTATAGTCATTTCTATTGTTTATATTTACAAATATTTTGCGACAAAAAATGTTGAATTCATTGAATTCAACGGCAAATCAATTGATTAAAAGACAATTGGCTTTCAATGCAAACACGTGTCGACTGAAGAGCACCGCTAATAGGGATGACGGCGTGAATGGGCTGAAGAGGCGACTGGAAAGCGGACCCCAATTGTCTCAGTTCATCGACGGAACCGTTGGAAGCGCTGATCGATGGAGTGATTACAGCGGGAAACTGAAACGCGAGGCCGGAGAACACCAACGGTATGTCTGATCATCACAACTGATCCACTCTATCGCCACTTAATGGCACGCATTATCTCTATCTTTGTCTATAGATTACGACTCCCGCCGTGGCTTAAGAAGGAGATCCCAATCGGCCATAACTATCACAAACTGAAACAATCGTTACGAGCGTTGGGTTTGAATACGGTTTGCCATTGAATTGTGGCCACAATTGGCCACCAATTGGTGATCATATGATTAATAAGTGTTTGTTTTGTGTGTCGTGTTGTTGGGGAACAGGTGTGCGAAGAGGCCAAGTGTCCCAACATTGGCGAGTGTTGGGGCGGCGGAGAGCACGCGACGGCCACCGCCACAATCATGCTGTTGGGCGACACGTGTACCCGCGGCTGTCGGTTCTGCTCCGTGAAGACATCCCGAGCGCCGCCACCGCCCGACCCCAACGAGCCCTACAATACGGCCAAAGCCATAGCCGAGTGGGGTTTGGATTACGTGGTGTTGACTTCTGTGGACAGGGATGACATGCCCGACGGCGGAGCCAATCATTTCGCGCGAACTGTTCAGCAATTAAAGCTAATGAATGGCGCGATTTGTGTCGAGTGTTTGACGCCCGACTTCAGGGCCGACAAGAGTGCCATCGAAACAGTGGCCACATCTGGTCTCGACGTTTACGCCCATAACGTGGAAGCGGTTGAGGCGTATCAGCGCTTCGTTCGCGACCCACGAGCTAACTATAAACAATCCATTGATGTCTTAAAGTTTGCCAAACATATAACCAAACAAATGAATGGAGAGTCAGTCATAACGAAGACGTCGATTATGTTGGGCTTCGGAGAGACGGACGCGCAGGTGATGAAAACGATGGACGACTTGAGGGCGGCGGGCGTCGATTGCGTGACATTAGGACAGTATATGCAACCGACCAAACGGCACATCAAAGTCGTTGAATACGTGACGCCCGAGAAGTTTAAGCGATGGGAAGAATACGGCAATGAATTGGGTTTCATGTATACGGCCAGCGGTCCACTCGTCCGCTCGAGCTATAAGGCCGGAGAGTTCTTCATTAAGA